ACATTCAATACGGTTTGTTTAAAAGAACAAGAGACAGCATAGATTTGCGGGTGAAGTTCTTACCCTGGTACCTTGTTGACTAATTATCTTTTCAATCAATCGCAACAGATCGAAAATAAATTTTCAGTATATTTAGTGAGAAGGACGGAAGCTGGAGTTCCCCAGGGCTCTATTCTTGGACTTCAACTTTTCTTACTTGATATACAAGACCTACCAGGTGGTCTATTGGGTACCTCTAGGATATTGTCATATGATGCATGTTCGTGTCAAACACCTTTCAAAACGTGCAGAACTTAGAAAGGCTGAGCAATCACGACTTATAAATGAAGAATGGCTAAAAACGACTTGTGAAATTTAATCCCAATTACCAAGCTAAAATTATTAATATTTTTCAGCAATGAAGATAAAATAAATAATTGTACTTAGTGTTGAATAATCAGCAAATCGATCCTTCTCTTGGTCACTATCATCTTGGACTTACATTCTCAAACCCTGGGGAGTGGAAAAACCACACTGACAGTATTATACAAAAGGCTTCCAAAGAAATTGCAGTTTTTCGTAAATTAAAAGGGTTACGTATCGTGACTTCTTAGCTTAAATGTATTCTAGTATTACGTTTATACATGTAAGAGCGATACCACTTTTGGAATATGCTTTGGAAGCATGGAACAGCATCTCCGCAGCTGCTCTGAAAGGCCTGATAAACTTCAGCAAGAAGCTGTACATATTGTAACTGGCGTTCCTGTTTATCGTGCCTTGCAAGATTTCAAGTATTTTGTGCTGCCAAGGTATATTATTTTTAAATTGAATCATCTAACTATTCTCTGTTAAATTTTAGTTCACTATAACCTTACAACTGTAAGAAAAAAAAATGTCCACCTAAGCCAGATTTAGTACTTACGAAAATATACACTGGTCACCTTAACTCACGTGAAAGGGTTACAAAATATTAGGGAGACCAATTTTTTTGTATATTTTTACCTACAAGTTTTCTGTAAAATTTAGCGTTAAAATGGTAATTAATAAGCCCAAGTACCAACAAAAATGCATTTGGTTTTTATTTCAAAGCATAGGGGAAAAAGATAAATTTTGTCTACTTAAGCCAGATTTCATGGCATTGGTCCCCTAACCCAGAAATCAGGATTATATATATATATATATATATATATATATATATATATATATATATATATATATATATATATATATATATATATATATATATATATATAAGAAGACAAAATAAGTAGGAAAAAAAAAATATAAATGAGCTGATGATACTATATAAGTTTGCATTTAACATATATGACTGATAATTATAATAATACAAGTATAAATGTGAAAGTTAATAAGAACACATAAATAGATGTTGGTTCTGTGGTTTGACAAAATTAAAAAAAAAAAAAAAAAAAAAAGAAGAAACAATATCATGCAAATCTCTTTGTAGATGCAATAAATTCTTGAACAATTTTAAATACGGCAATATTTTGGTTGTAAGTAAGATTATTGTCTCCATTCAAAATAAGTTGTAAGGATATAGGCATTGGTAATTGCAAAGTATCAAAGTTTTGCATAAAGTTTTGTCTTTGTACACAATATTTTGGACATTTCATAAAAAAGTGAAATGATGTTTCAGAGCTATATCCGCACATGTCACAATTTTGATCTTCCCTTAAAAAATGATTAAATAAATCAGCATTTAAATTACTAGCATTATTTCGCAATTGACAATGTAATATATTCATTTTACGACTTCCATAGTTGTAATATTTCTTAGGTTTTAAGCAGTATATATTCTTTATGGCAGTCTTGAATGATGAAAGTGTAGAAAGGTTTCGAATATTAAAGGGTAAATCATTCCAAAGTCTTATTGTTGAAGGAAGGAAACTTTTCATAAATGAAGTCTTTTTGGCTTGAGGAATATGAAATGTAAGATTGTCCTGATTCCTTTAAGGATAAGAATTATTTGGTAAAATGCATTGTTGTAATAAATCTTGCAAATACTGGGGAGCTAATCCATACACTATTTTATAAAATAACACTAGTTTATGTATTTTTTCTTCTTATTTCAAGTGTATCCCAGCCAAGATCTTCATAAAGTTTTGATCTTGATGAATTAGTCCTTAAGCCTGTTATTATTCGTGCAGCTGCAACTTGAACATCTTCTAGTAATTTTGCATCTCTATCAGTACAATTATCCCATACAATGTCTGAGTATTCAAGTACAGGACGAATAAAAGCAAAATATATTTTTATCAAAGCATCCCGCTTAAGGGTGTGCTTCAACATTCTTAAGATATTTAATCGAATACAGGCTTTGGAATGAATATCAAGTATGTGGAATCTCCAATTACCATCCTGCTGAAATCTTATCCCTAAGTGAGTATGTGTTTCAACATTTTGAATAGTAGGCCCACTTTTAAATATATGGTTTATCCAAAGAAATAACCCTCACATGCATTTAAATATAGGTCAGTACTAAAATTTACACGGTATAAGCTAAAATTAGGCATTTACAAATTATCTGAAAGAGTACCAATTTACCAACCCTGATATTTAGGCTGTTCAAGGAAACAATCATGTTATATAATAATATTTCAAGAATAAGAGAAGTGATTTGATAGCTTTTTTGCCACTAACCAATAATGCAATTTAAAATTACACAAAGAAAATGATTGCAGGTGCTTTAATTATAAATTCTCAAAATACGAGTCGGGTAAAGAAATTGCGTCTTTTATACAAAGGTAACAATATTGTATTTCTGATATTTATTTTTTATAGAACAAAAAACAGAGAATAGTGCAGACATGCGTAAAAATTCACAATGATTATATAATCTTTCTTCCAATGCCTGTAGTTTTAACATTAACTAATTGTTTAAAAAAAAAAATTAAAAATGGCATCAGGTTATTGAATGACTAAGATACACATAAAGGTGAAATTTTCGACATCAATTCACATCAGTCGTATTTAAAATTTTAATGCGAGTATTTACTTTGATTTTGTTTTTCTGTAAATTCTTAGATCCACGTCTTGGCTGATCTAATCGATGCCATGTAAAGTGTACTTTGATACACACGCACTGGCCATCATTTACGTAACAGTCTAGATAGAAGACCTGCCACTTTGTTTTTCTGTAAATACTTTGATCCACGCCTTGGCCGTTCTAATCGATGCCATGTTTAGTGCATTCTGATACACACGCGCTGACCATGATTAGATAACTGCATGTATTTTGAAGACCCACCACTACCCAAGCGATATTGTCTCTGTGACTCTCTATGATTTATGTGTAGTTTTTTCTTTTTTAAGATGGCCTGTTTGACAGATCGCCCATTCTTTGTCATTGAGCAGTTTTGTTTACATATCTATATTAAGATATCGTGTCATTTGCCAGACCACCAGCTTATCAATGGCAGCTTACACTGGGGCTTCATATCCGGGGTTACAAATTTAATGTGTCATCTCTTTCAAAGACAATTAAGTTGTACATGTCACTGGCATCAAAAATCAGTCAGCAATAATTTACGAGTACCTTTCTCAAACCGCTAAACAGCTGCTAAATGCACCGGTAAGTGGATGTTTTGACTATCGGTGTGTTAACTACGGAAAAACGTTTGTCATCGCCGCGAGCATACATACGTAACGTAAACTGTGATTCGTTGTTTTGCCACGCGATTCTGTGCAGCAGCCATTCACATGACCCGCGCATATCAATTAACATACGACGATATTACGGTGACTTTGCCCAAAACATCAATGATTTCATTTAAAAATGCATCTTTTTTATATTAAATTGATTGATTGTACGTTGTTTTACGTCCCATTCGAGAATTTTTCACTCATATAGAGACGTCACCATATACCGGTGAAGGGCTCCAAATTCAGACCTTTACTCGGGACTCAGGGCCATTGAGCAGTGATGAATTTTTATCGTGCCAACGCCTGCCGTGACACGAGGCCTCGGTTTTTAAGGTCTCATCCGAAGGACCCGCTACTTTCACTTCAAAGTGGAGAGCGCTTGGCGAAGGAACGGTTGCTACCTATTTTTTTTTTTATCGACTTCGGTCAGTCGCGGCCGAATTTCGAACTCACGGCCTTCCGATCACGGAGCGAGCTTTTATATTAGAAACTTTAAGAATAGTAATCATCTTTTTGTATTTTTACTATTTACTATTTTTTATTATTTAAATCCAATAATTATTTGAAATCGCATTTAAACCAGAAATGGCAATATTCTATTTTGAGCACGGGAGGAATACTGAAGTGATGAACAATAGAAAGCGAAAACAAGTATTCACAAAATACTTTGAAATTGCAAACTTCATGCTGATTTACAAACAGTTTGAGAGTGCATGTGAATGCATCACAAAAACCAAGAGTGAAAAAATTGCATACACGTTGCATGTACACGTAAAATTTACACCTGTGAGCGCATGAGTGAGGCTTAAGTGTACGTTGTACATAAAATGTACTTGTTTGTACGAAGAAATTTTTATAGAGAATGTGTGTGACATTTCGATGTGACTTCCAGGTTTATTTACAAATATTGTACATGTACATTATACCCCTTCTTGAACCCCGCAGCCGACGGGCAGTGGGTCAACAGTTCATACAAAATACCGTCTGCTTAGGTAAGTTCCGATCACGTTAATTCATTGACCTCTCTGTAATGGACAGGCATATTAAACAGCTGTTAGAAAAAATTATTTAAAAAATATTTATTTGCTATCATCTGTTGTTTATCAATGACGATTCTCAGCGTATTTTCTGTACGGTGGAAATATTTTGTTGCATTAAGATGGCTTTGCTGCACTTGATTCCTAACACTCCGTAAGGTCAGACAGGGGGTGTGGCGACAGAAACACTTGGCATAAATTAATAATTACACAACTCGTCCCATGACAAAAAACTTTCACAATCTGTTGATATTTAAAATGAAAAACATAACGCATGCACAAGAAACTGGGAGTGATGAGAGGAAACGGTTTTTGTCTTACCTAGAGCTTCTCTTTGTTGCAGATGATAAACCGTCGAAGCATCGATTGTGAGTTATGGATTCCCATTCCAGCAATCGCTCGCCCAGATTCAAGTAGCGAAAATATTAATAAATTGGCCCATCACTGCCGCTAAAGAGATGACATAATTTGTCAAGTGTTGACATATCTAGGAGGACTATAGTATGCGTAACCAGAGATAAACATAAGGAAATGAGCTACTGCTATGAACAAAAAATAATTTGCTTTAATAAATTTCAGCTAGGAACATATCCCCTCCCCTTCCCCTTAAGTCTTTGTTTTCAATTGATACCATCTGCCAAAAATTATACATGTTTAGTAAGAATATATAGGAAAAATTCTACTAAAATGCAACCTGTAAAAGTATACAGTGGAGATAGATAAAAGATATTGGAAACTTACATTAATCCGTCTCCTCATTATTTGTTGTTGTTGTAAATAACAGATATTTATTGCGTAGAAAAGAATAAACACGTCTGAAACGATTTATGTTACAACAAAATAGAATTTGAAATTTTACATTCATGTTGCATTTAGAAAACATATCTATAATTGTAATGTTATTTTACTAAATTTACGGATGAAATCTAAATATTTGAATGTCAGAAAGAAAATAAAAGATCCAAAGAAAATTAGTTGACTTAACAAAAAGTATTAATGATATTGAAATTAAAAAAAAACATGCTTGTTACATTCAATTTTAAAAATATACATACAACACATGGAGGAAGGGGATAGTGTATAAATGTTAAGGGGAAAACTGGTTATGCAAATATGTGTAACTTGGAAGCTATAATATCTATTTCTGCACTGATTCAAAATCGCAATATTTTCTGCTGTAGAAGAAGGTTTAGATCACTGAATGATAATAATTATTTAGTGTCAATATAATGAAGAAAAGTGAAAACAAATCAATCTTTGGCTCTCAAATTAAGCACAATAATGCAGAAGACTGAGGTTTTAACCTCGCCACATTTAAGGCTATTTACAATATTTCGGGAAAATACATGATTGTTAGAGCACCATAGCTGAGTCGTAATATTGTGTGGAATATCTGTTCACTACATTTTCCAGCATTAAAAAAAATAAAGGGGGGGGGGTGGTTGATTTGCATTTTTAACAAACAAATAACGTTTTAGATTTGTTAGTGATGGATTTTGTTTGATAACGTCAGGTAATTTGTTCCAAAGTTTGATAGGTGATGAGATGAAGGAGTTACGGTAATGTTCTGTATATGACTTGTTCAATGTGGCACCTTTGTCTAGAGAAATGACTTATAGGTCTTGGATTTGTGGTGGTGCCTGATTCGAAAACGATTTTTGAGTTTGTAAACTATTGTGTGATTTTGTATTATTTTAGGTTTATTTCTCCGTTCCTCTAAAGTCTCCCAACCTGTTTCTAGATAGAGACTCTGTAGACATGTTCGTAGAACCAGATACTATACGAGCAGCTTCGATATACATGTATATTTCATTGACAAGATCGCTGGATACATGTACATGTATATTATCCCATATAACGTCACCGTATACATAATAAAAATAGGTTTTCAAGGGATTTCCTATCGATGAAAAAAAAAACCCTGAGGTTTCTTAATATATGAAGACGTTAAGATGACTTCAGAAGAACTGATGGCATATGAAAATCCCAGTGGCAATTTTTTGAAAAAAATTATTCTAAAATGATTATGAATTTCCACGTTAACGATACGTATTGTGTGAGTGACTGAGATGGGTTTATTACTGAAGAGCTACACGTGTAGTAAACATTCGGTTTTTGAAAGGTTGAAATCTACCGACCACTGATTTGCACACACTTTTTTTTTTATTAAGAACATCTTTTAAATATCTGACTGCTTGTGAAAGCATTTTCAATAACTATATAAAGGGTTGTGTTGTCTACAAACAGTAAAATAGTATAGCTGATTCCAAAAACAATATCGATTATATAAATGAGAATAGCAAGGGACCAAGAATGAATCCCTGGGGTACACCGGCTTTCATAATACGTTATATTGATGACGTTGAGCATTACTCTTTGCCCTCTTTTTATAAGATAGCTCTTAAACCAATAAATAAATAAATAAATAAATAAATGAATAGGTAAATTTCCATCTTATACTAACTGCATTTCTGAGACACATACAATACCATGGTCCTTTTCATAACTAAAATTCTTCCTTCAGACTTAGAATTGAATGCTTATATTTCAAGTGTTTACGATTCACAAACTTTATATCTCTATAATGTTAGATAGCTTATGGAGGGCGCCTATGCGCGATAGGGGCAACCTTGTAACAATTTTTAAGCCCACAATTTGCATGGCTCTCTTTTTTGATTGAATGGCTCTATTGCTTAAGGATGCGATTGCAAGGCGTCACGTGATCGACCCATGTGATGTTTAAAAAAAGAAAGTTTACGGTAACCATTTTTGGAATAAGGAGAGTCATATGATTGCGCCCATGGCAAAAGGTCCTCGTGGCAATATTTCTAGAACAGAGAAAGAAAAAGATAAAGATTTGACATTGCAGAGACATTTTACATTTTGACACGTCTAGCTTCTGTCATAGTTCTGAAAATTGAAATTTATTTCATTAATAAATTTAATTTACATCTGATTCTTTATGTCCTCTAGTTTTAATTAAAATATTAGAATTTTATTCGAGATCGGTTTCTTAACTATAGGATCTACATCTATGTATAGACATTCATTTCTTAGAAGCTTCAGACCGGCGGCGTGAATATGGATGAACAGAGATGAACGAATGCGATTTTGATACATACGTGTATAGACCTGTTTGAGGTTGCATGCTGGACATGAATATATATTTTTTTAAAAATATTGCATAGGAAATTGTTTTCCTCTGTAAGATCTTCTCTAGCATTTTCAACACTTAATCGACCATGTAAACATTGAATCTTCGGTGCATATATTGTTATAAAATGTTTTATGTGTCGTATTTGGTAAAAAATTGAAACTTAACACACTTCTGACAGAAAAGAAAAGTTTCTTTTTGCAAGTTTTCACAGATCTTACAAAAAATACACGTGTTACAAAAAATACACGTGTGAGATCTATATATTAATTTTCTCTAAAGAGAGGTAACTCTGTCAATCGAGGTACTATGTACAGAGGTATCGCTATACCAGAGAGGGAAAATCATTTTGAGCATATGCATTTCAACTTATCATGCTCACGGGAATATATTTGAAAAATGAATTTTAAGGAAGAGATTGCAAGGGTCCGTGAAAAAATTAATTTTGCCAGAAGCATTGTTAGAGCCTGTAATAAGGTGAACATTCACTCAAATTACACTGATGACCCAACGCTTAGTCATTTAACACTATCCATTCAAAAATTCATGGTTAGTAGAGTAGAACCATGCAACAAAAAAAAAGTTACATGTAGGTTTATTAACAGTACGCATTTAAATAAAACGGAAATCTCAAACGAACATTTATATCCAGTGTGAAAATATGACATACCGGTGGGGCCACTGTGGCAATCAACATTTTACATAGGACTACATAAAAAATCTCAAAAAATATCAAAAATTCTTCTTCTCAAGAACAACAAGGTCATGATTAGTCATATTTAGAAGGAAGCATCCTCAAGGAGTATAGATTCAAGTTTGTCCAAAGTTTGTCCAAATCATGACCCCGAATTAGGGTCCACTATGTACGATCAAAGTTCTTCATAGTAAGACATGTACAAAGAGAAATACTTTAAAATTCTTCTCAAGAACAGCGGAGCAATCGTTAGTTATATTTATATTGAAGCATTTTCAGGTAGTGTAGATTCTAATTTGTTCAAATCATGACCCCAAGGGGTAGGATTGGGTCTCAATGGCCAATCTAAGTTTTACAGAAGAATATATAGGAAATACCTTTTAAAGTCTTCTTTTTTCAGAACAGCAAAGCCATGATTAATCATATATTTATAAAAGTATCTTCAGATTCAAGTTTGTTCAAATAAAGACGCCTGGAGGTAGGGCGGGGTCACAATATATTATCTATATTTTACATAGGAATATATTAGGAAAAAATCCGCTGATAAAATAACAGAAGGACCATAGTTACTTATATGAGCGTTGTAGCCGATGGACCTCTTATTATTTTGAATATTACACTGCAATCCGAATAAGCTAATCAGGCATAAAATAGAATCGCTAATCATGAAGTGGTTTTTAGTCAGTTTCCAATATCTATCGGCAATCTGAAAACCTTATGTAGCTCTAGGCTGTTGCAAGTCGTTACATTCAATTTATCTAGCAGTTTTGAGTGTCAGGTTCTTTGAAAAGGAGTGTCAAAAATTTTCAACATTCTTCATATGAGAGTAAAATCAAGTTTCCGGTGTTAGTAAGCCTAATTGACGCATACATTTTACAATCTTATTGTCCAGCGTGTCACCGTAAAAATTCAAGATATTCTAACATTTTCTCAGGTATGTTCATCTGGAATATTTGCGAGTGACCTAAATTGGATGCTATGTAATCTAAATCTTCACATCACAAATTTTGCACATATTTTGAACAAGTAACGATCGAAAGAAATAGAATATAAAAACAAACATTTTTCTGTGGAACACCAATGTCCAGGTCAGCGCAGTTCGTAAAGGGAGCAAAATTTTAGACGACCTTATCAACATCAGTTAAAGAGGTTCGTTCCTGAGCTTCTGAGAATAATGTTTCAGATAATAAATTTGGATTCTACAATGGCAATTAAACTATATTCAATTAAAAACCATGATTAAATTCCATACCGAAAGCACTGAGTGAGGAAGTATATTTTGTGGCAGAAGGTTTTTTTTTAAAGAAGAAAATGATTTATTTGTCTTTTTCGAAATATTTACAGTATTGTTAAGTTTGGATTCCTATTTTTACATACAGTCTGCACACAGAGTTATTTTGTGCAGTGAAATGTTTTATACTGGTCCTAAATTATTTATTAAATTAACTGTCATGAATTCTATCATCATATTTGACAAATACATGTAGCAAATATATTGTTAAAGTCCTGGGGGAAAATAGCCAACTTTAAGCTTAAAATTAACACTGTTTTAGTAATATCTAAAATTTAACATCGC